AGGCCCAGAGAGATTAAAGTAACAGGCTTCGGGGCACCACACTTAACTGCGCTGTGCTCCGAGAAGGAGCAAAGGAAGGAAATTAACACAATTGCTCGCTCACTTCTCATTTAGTTTTATTCATTTCCTCCACTTTCCTAAATCTCTTAAATGGTCAAAAATGTGTTTAGTTCCTGCTTGCACCCTCTTTCCAACCTCTGTTTTTCCTTTCTTGGCAACGAGCAATGGTATGCAGTCAGTCAAATGCATGTCAGAGTCATTTCAGCACACCCAGGGTGAAGATGCAGACCAGATTGCCTTTGGAGTAAAGATGGAAAAATTTGGCATTAAAAGATCATCTTCAGCTCCCAGAAACAGGGGGAAAAAAAAAAAAGAAAGAAAGAAAGAAAGAAACGCATTTACAGAGCCCAAGTTGGTTGGGAGTCTGATGTTGGGAGAAGTTCATTTTGCGTGCATGTTGTTCGGGTTTCTGACATTCCTTCTTTTCTAAATTCACGTGACAGTCCCAAATCACACAATGTTTCCATTCCACCTTCTTTATCTGCAGGCCTGATCCTGCCAAGAACACACTATGCCTTCTGACTCCCCGAGCTCAGGCTGCAGGTTGTTAGGGAAAAATGTCCTTTGGACCAAAAGGAAATGCATCTCAACAAAGAGCCCTGGGTGGTTAGACGCTCCAGAGAGGAGCTAGAGAAAGACAGGCAAAAACAAAGACTTTATTACCCCTTCCCAGAAATTTTAGGTGCCACACCTTCTCAGAAGCATCTAAAACCTGCCCTTTATTTTTCAGAGAGGTTGGTGACATCAGCAGCCATTTCCTTATTCCCCTTCTCGAGTGGCTACACAAGTGGCTGGCTCTGCCTCAGGGTCCTTGCCTGCTTTTCCCTCCCTACACTGGAAGGCACCTGCTATCAGCCTCTGCAGGGGGCGTGGAAAGGGTGTGTGTTAATGGGCAGAATCTGCCCCAGTACATTCTAAGGAGCACTTGGCACGACGTGTTTGGCCAGGAGACCTGGTCTTCAAACTTTATAGAAGGAAGTAGGACACAGGAATTCATGTGGAGGCTAAAACGTGGCCTGTTGAAAAATGAAACGTGGTGTAGGTTTTCTCTGAGAGATTTCCTTTGCTAAACTTTCCATCAACTCTGATCCTGGGGAAAGAATGGTAAATGTAATGAGT